AATGACATGGCTTTCTGACCCCAATTACACAACCAATGGAATTGAGGTGACACCTTCTTGTGGATGTGGCCTCCTGATACTTATCACACACTCACTGGAGTTGAGCCATCACTTTCCTGGTCGACATGGCCTCCTGGTACTATTTACACAACCAGGGGAGTTGAGCCATCACCTTACAAGATGATATGGCCACCCTCTTCCTTTTACACAAAAAGTGGAGTTAGACCACATCACCTTACTGGATGATGTGGCCTCCTGATACACTTTACATAAACATTGAAGGTGAGCTGTCATAATTGCAGTTCACCCTTTCAATTGGGAGACCTCATCCTACCTTCACATGAAAGTCAGTTCCCAGCATAGAGGTTTTGGATTAAAGTCAACCAATCAACAGAAGTCCTCACACGAGTACAGGTTATCTATCTTCCTCCCCCAATTGCTCAATCTCTGGGATTGTTCTGGTGCTATCTTTGACTATCCCTTGTTTTATTCTTACAGGGATGTTATTGCCTTTGGATGGTGCCGGCCTGTGCCCATGGTTGGGGGACTTGATTACATGCGATAGACATCCTTTTGATACTGAATGTCAGTTCCTGGATTGATAGATCTGTGATGATCCTCATGGCATACCCAGAAAGCGATGTGCGTCTTAATCACCATTTTTTGGGTTTGAGGTGAAGATGGTATGATCCTCATCCTACCATCATGTGGATGTCGGTACCCTGCCAGGGGGTTTTTGATGTAGTTGACTTACCGAGTATGGTCTGCCAGGCCCTAGCCACTCTACACCTCACAATTTCTGCCCTTGTGCATTACACAATGTACACATGGGTAAAACGTATGCCTGGCTCAGAAGTGGTGCAGTTCCTCTCTTTGGATCTATATCTCTTATTGTCAGTGGTATCCTTCAGACGATTTCTGGGGTACTTCTTTCATTCCTTCTTACCAGTCCCTGCTCCTCCTCCTCAATGTGAGATTCTAACTAATCTTGTGAGAAGAGGTAAGTACCATATCAGAAGTTATAATTTTCTTATACTGAAAACATATCTCTAATAGGTACGTACCTCCTGTCCCACTAAACAGCTGTCCTTTCAGCCCTGGGGGTGTTATAATGTGACAGTCATTCCAACTATTCATTGGTAAAAGAGTAGCACAAGATTTGGCAGTGGATGTTGATGACTTCCCTCTAGTCTTTTACTGCTAAATTAGGGATGGCTAGTGCAGATAGCCCTCATGTAGCTTTGCGCGAAATTCAAAACAAACAAACCAAATTGCTCACACTTCCTCCCCACTTTTTTGGTGCTCACACCTTCTGCCAAACTTCAAAGTGAAGGTTCAGTAGAGAAGTGTATTGGGACTCGCATACGTCACATGAGCATGTAATACTACTATTAGTTAAAAGATGATGCATGATGATTTGCAGGGGAATGCAAGGCTTGTGCTATGCCTAGAGAAAAGTTTGTATATAGAGGGCAGCACTGAACAATAATACCTAATCTTGTGAGAGTAAATAAGTACTTATTGGAAATACCTTTTCAGTATAGGAAAATTATAACTTTTAATAATAGAATATGCAACTGGTATGTAACTTTTAAAAACAATTTACTAAAAATCGAAAAATTGTATGAGATTAATGATATATACACACAAAACTCGCTTGTTTTAATGAAATAAAATTATAGATTTGCAGTCGTAATGTGCTTGTTACAAAAAGTATATCTGAATCTGAATATTTTATGGGATATTCAGATCTGTACAGATTGGAATTATAAGCTAGAAACCAAACAGAACTTTAATGTAAACAGAGAACAGACACTATTCTGAATGCTTTTGTTATGCCCAATCCTTTCAGAACTTAAATGTTCGGGTGAAATGACTTGCATATTTCCCTTTGCAGTTTGGTTTCTTTTTTTCTCATTATCACCCTTGAGAATAGATCAGCATGTTTCTTTTTTGTCTCATTTTATGTACTCTAGTGTATGCTGGAGATCAAATTGAGTGATTTTTTTTTTCTTCAGACCAAAAGCAAAGATAGCATATGTTGTATGAGGCATTTGGCATATATAAAATTTTAAGCAACCTTTCTCTGCCATCAAGTAGTGTATGTCAGAAGCATTGCCTGTTACACTTGTCAAAAAATCATTGTAAAAGTGAAAAGGTTCTTTACTTTAAAAGTTCTGTTTTCATTCTATACTTTGTTATTCTGTGTTGTATAGATTGGTTACTGTGAAAATATATAGTTGTTACTAAATTGTCAAATCACACTTTGTGTAGTAAATGAAATAACAATATGGAATTTTTACGATTGGTTCTAAAGCATAGTGTTAACAGTAGTGTTTGTAAAAAATAGCACTAGATAAAACTGTTTTATAAATTTTTGTAATAAAGTTTATCTTCAAGGAAATAATTTATGTATTTAATTCTTCCATAGCATTATTTTTTTACAATATTTACATACATTCAAAAATAATTGTGCATTAAAAGTAAAAGCTGTAAACCACTATACCTAACATTTGGGATAAAGTCATTAAAACTACATTTTTTTCCTCACATTCCTCTTAATTTATGTTTCAGCTTTGATATCGGAGAATTGTATAAATAGCATTTCAGATATATTTTTTTGTCTTAGACAAGTTCTTTCTAAGAGGCTTTCCTCTCAATGTCAGAACACGTTAGTTGGCCTTGATAATGTGATTTTTATCGCATATGTTAAGTGTATGGGTGTATAATGCTTTTCGAGTTTTCAGCATTTAAACTATAAATTTTAAAGTCTTGTACTACACGTTAATAGAATTTCAGATATTTTGTCTTTCATTGTCCAGACCAGCTAACAGATTTGTAAATTGATGTATTTGAAATAAAAGATATATCTGAAATTCATTTTTTACACATTTCTGATTTTGAATCTAAAAATTGACAAATTAAGAAGTATATGGAAAAAACCCAGCAGATATGTGATTTTTATCATAAATATTAAGTATATCAGTTTCTCAAGTTTTGCGAAGTATCAACATTTAAATTGTAAGTTTTATTACATTTTGTTTCATTTTTCATCTGAGTTTAATGTTTAAGCAATATTTATGCAGTGAAAGAATAAAAACATAATTTTCAACTCTAATAGTAATTGAAAAAGGATGGATCACAATAAATTCTAAATTATGAAAAATACCTTAATGGATGATTGAAAAATGCTATATTTCATTAAAAGTGTTGAAGGAAGAAGTTAGCCCTGTTTGTTCTTTCTGTTATGAAGTTTAATGTTTCGAGACAATTACTCGCATTTATACACAGAAATGTTTTTCCATCTATGTCTGCTTATGAGATTTCCATGTTACGAGCCTTGAGCTAAATCCCACCTAAATTCATGTGTTTAATGTAAATTGCAAAAATAACCCTCCATGAATATGAGGGCAACACAACCTCCATGTACAGTAACTTCCCTTATGCACATGCATTCATGATAACTTTTCCTCGGCACTACACTGAATAGGCATGTTCAAACTTCTTGTGTAAGTTCAATTTGATGAGATTTACATTTGTTAACAAAACTGTTATTTTCATTTTCTTTGGATTCTGTTTCAAAATTTTAAATTTTTTATTATGAATTCTCAAGTAATAGTGACTTCGAATTTGTCCTGTGTGAGTGATGATGTTAAATACACAGGCCCTATTTATACTGTGGCTTCAGGTATCTCATTGACTGTGGAAGATATTATTGCCATTTTACAGCATTTTGTGGGTTCTATTATGCATTCTGGGATTTTATTCTCTTCCATTTGACCAACATCCCTTACACTCAGTTTGAGGTTGAAAAAGAGCAAGATGAATTTGATCACCTATTACTCTCACCAGGATTTACTGTGGGTGCTTCCCTATTGGTCAAGGAAAATCCTCCACTTTCCACAATGTTTAGGGACTTTCTTTCTTTTTTGCCAATTTTTTATTATTCCTCCTGTTCTTTTCGATGATCCTAATTCTTAATCTTATGATTATTTTATGTTTTCTCCCTCGTCTGACATTTGGGTTCATGTTTATTCTTTCTTTGAACAACTTTGCATCCATATCAACATGCCTCATCCTCCTTGCCTTCTTGAATACCATGTCTTAGCTTACAGTCATTCTTTCTTTCCCTTCCTGGATTCTCAAACATTGTATCTGATATCTCCTTGGGGAGTGGATCCCTTGTCTTCTGTTTTGATTTCAAGTGCCCAATTTTTATATTTTCGGCTTTTTCTTACCACCCTCCTATGCTCTTTGTCCTTCTTATACCTAATGCTTGAGGTGCTTTTTCATGCTCCAGAAAGGTTTACAGGAGAGGTTAAGAGTCTTCTTTTTACCACAATGACCTATCTCTGCTCACTTGGTTTCTCTGCTGTTGGGTCTGGATACACTCCTTACCAACATATAACTTTATGATCTCTGTCAGACTTCTTTTCTTTAACCTGAAGAATTTGGTAGTGTTTCTGACTTGCTGAAGTCAAGGGCCAAAGCCATTCCTCTTTATCTTTCCTGGATTCTTGCTTTTCACAACCTCACCCTTCCACTCTTGTTTTTCAGCTGGCTCAGTCTACCTCTAATCTTATCTTTCTGTTTCACATTCCAAACCTTCCTCTTTTTCCTGTTCTCCCACTACCCACTGTCAGGTTCGTTGCATATTTTGTTGGTGACTATCCTGTTGGGTCTGGCTCAGTAGGTGTCCATCTGTCTCGGTTTGTAGACTTTTGGCTACTCTTCTCTACTGACAGTTGGATTCTTAAACTTCTAACACACAGTTTTTCTTTCCACTTCTCTTCGCATTTTCTTTTCTCCTCTTGAGAATGCAGTTTCAGATCTTTTGGGCAAACACACAATTAAGAGGGTATATGACCCTTTTACGGGGTATTACTGTTATTTCTTTGTGGTTCCCAAGAAGACAAGAAACTTGCATCTAGTAATTGACATATCTCTCTACTGATTTCTGGCCATTCTATGATTTTGCAGTCTCCCATGGGTGTGCCCTTATGGATCTCCTACCATTGGGTGTCACACTCAATGAGCTACCCTTCAGGCACTTTCTGATGGGAGCTCATATAGGTAAGTTATTGCATCAGCCCTGCCACCACTTCATCATAGGATTCAAGCATTTCTGTGAACAGAGGTGAGTTATTATCTCTGAAGTTCACATTTTTCTAACCTGAAAATCTATTTTCAGTAGATATCTCTAATCACAATCCCGTCTTATCTCGCCCACTTCTGGTGCACCTTTTTTTTTTCTTGCCTCTTCTAAGAATGAAGTTATCATGAGTGTAGGTGCATTGGAGGAGTTACTGTACATGGAGGCTCATTCATGCAAAAGTAATTTGCACATATACTAATATTACAAAATCGAGAAAAATGTTGGTAGCTTCTGACAAGAATAATTATTTCAAACTGTTACAAGTTAAAGAAAGACACCTGTGATTAATAATTTGAATTTAAGTCATAACAAAACTTAATATAAGTGTTTGCTTAGATATCCCAGCTGTAATGAAAGTTGTGCTTAAAAACTTTGTGTACTGAACTTCTACAAACTGTTTTCAACTTACACTATTATTTACTAGGCCATGCAAGAGAAAATATTCCAAAGAAGAGTTCAGCATTGTATATAAGAGAATTTACTTATAACATGCAGAAGTTTGTTGATAAGTTTTTTCAAGATTACATCTCGCCTGCTAATAGTAAATACTGCCTTACTAAAGAGAATGGATCGTTAAAACGAAAGGATTTTACTCTGTTTTTTGACCATCATTCTCCAAACGTGCTTACATCACATCAGTCACAGGTACATAAAGTCTGAAAATGTGTAAGAACTTGTTATTATCTTATAAGCAAGTATACAGTTGTTCATAGTTTTGAAATATTTAAAACATTTTTTCAGTAGTAGTTTTTTTACACAAGAAATTAGGTACATTCAAAAAGTGTTTTTATGTGTGTAAGAAAGTTCATGATAAAGGAAAGAAATATTAATTCATTAGTATTTGGTTGAAGGATATTTATGTAGTAAGATAAATACACAGACATTCCTTCTGAAACTGTAATTCTTGAATATTTTGATGCATCATCAATTTTTTAGTCACTAGTAATCTAAATAAAAGATACAATACCACTATTCATTTGTAGCTCAAAATTATATTTAGTTTATAGAATAACATTATATATATATATATTTGCATTACCTTATATTTATATTCTTTGCACATTGTCTAATAAACTTTGAAATGTGAAATGATACAGTATGGGCTGTTTTATTATACAAAACAATGAAATTATGAGTTACCAAAGTTTCTAGTCATTACAAAATTAAATTATAAAATAAAGGCTAAACTGTTCATTAAGTAATTTTCATATTATACATTTTTTTATTCTAACAAGATGATATAATAACTCTATTTCTTTTGACCCAAAAGTATTACTGTGAGAAGCAAATTGACTTTCAGTGTTGTGACATATTTAAAAGTGTTTTAAGAGTTTTTATAAATACAGTTTTTTTATGAAATGGGCAATTTTTGTAGTGGCAGGAATAATCATTAAGTTTTTTATCACACTTTATAATTGTTGTTATTCTTGTTAATATATAAATGATATTTAAAAAAAATGTATTTTGCAACAGTAATTACTGCATCTTCCTCACAATTCTAACATTGATTAAACTAATATTTAAGTCCAGCTTGACAATCAATGCTGTTTATATGTAGTGTTAAGCAAGCTTTCTGAAGAATAAAGTAAGACATTGGTGAATTGTTTATTAAGTTGGAATTACTTGTGTATATGTACACAGATTTATGAAGGTGATATAAACTGTGTGGTTTTAAACACATAAACTAAGTAACATTTGATATTATTTTACTTAAAATATACTTAGTTTCAAACCCAACTTCTGGACGTCAGTCAATCTTGGACTTTACCAGTTCAATCTTCTGGAATCTCACAATTTAGTCAGCTTCAAATATCATTGCACCGTCAGATAGCCTTTCACACCATTATTCCAGCTGTAATTGACCAGTGTGAAGAATTTGGATGTAGATGCCAAGAAACACAAAAAAAGTATATATTACTTGTGCCTACGTGCCATCAGAATACTGCTGGTCTTACATGGCTAAGAACATGCTTCATTTTTGATAGTGTCTTTAGTATTTCAGTCAAACGTGCTTTCTTATTATTTTTTTATAAATGTTTAATACTTATCACAGGACACAATAAAAGCAACTACATAATTCCACTCACCCATTAGCTCTCAGCAAATGTCCCAAACATCTAGTGTTAATCTAAAATAAGTTGAAATCCAGTACAAGTCAATTTAAAATTGCTTATTAAACTCAAGGTACTGTAGTTAGGTGTATGGAATTTATTTGATTTGTTTTATGACAAAACTCAAATTTTGCTTCTGTTTATTTCTTAGTGTAGATTTGTATCTGAGCTCATCTGAAATTTTATTTGAATTGCTTTAAATATTACCAGTGCATTTTTAGTAAGTGTTTAAAAATTATTATTTTTGATTGAAAACAATATAAAGTTATTTTCATTGCATGCATTTTAAATTCAGTTATCTACAAGTTCAGTTATTAGATTTATGTGTTAATAATGCTCAAACAGATACATTGTGGGAAGTGAAAAGATTAAGTGAAGAAAAGTCGATAAAGACTTTATTATGTAAAATGTAGAGATTGAGTAATTATTTAATCAAGTGGATTAATTTTTTCTTATCAGTAAATTTCTATTTTTTACACAGTTGTTATATTTGGAGGCTTACCATGTTGTCAAGCCCAGTCATTCTTTAATGACTGTATATCTTGACAATGACCCTGCAGCATAGATTTCTTTGCAAAATGCCTTATCATAAGACATTCATGTCTAAAGCACACCACTCTTTCCTTCATGCTTTCTATAATCCATGTAGTGTATGAAGGTAATGGTTTCCCAGTGCTTGTTTCAACAGTCCAGTTACACAGAAATCCATAAGCACTGTGTCCAATGGCTTGGCCAGTATACCCTCATAAGGAATAGCATTCTTCAGCTGCTTTGGTTATGGACTATTGAATGGATATGTAATGGAATTAACTTGTGTATGCGTGACTTATGTCACTTTTTCAGATAGAGATCCTTCTTGATTATGTTGCATACTGTTGTCTGGGGCATGTGGACAGCATTTGTCACAGTTTTTTTGTTTTATTGGGTTTTTACCTTTTGCAGGTCTCTTTCAGAATCATTCTGGTGTTCCACCTTTATTCATATTCCTTTGTTTTCTAATGCATTTAAGTACAGGGGATATCCTCATCTTAGAAATTCTAAAACTCCTGTGTGAACATATCTTTATGATGTGAAGGTATAAATATTTTGCTTCAGAAAGGACTGTTGTGTACTATTTCACAAAGGGATCAGTTTTTGGTACCATCACACTACCTACAAATAGAAAATGTCAAAATATAATTCTCATACATGACTTCCACTACAACTTTATATTGACTGTGGCTGTCAAGTGATTTTCTGATTTGTATATTCCAAAAGTATTTCAACATAACATATTCAAAACTCTATTATAATAGCTTGATTAGTACACTGTTATTCTTTTGTACAAAGTTTGAGAATAAACTACAATTAGTTTTTTTCAGCTTGCAGTTATATTGTATTTGAATCAGTGAGATACCAGATTTATATTGAAGTTTAAAAATTTTATAAACAGCACTAAAATATTACTTATCAAAGTAATTGGATTAGTAAAACTAAAATTGAAAATGTTGGATTATCATATAGAAGGATTGAATATAAAGAATTTATTAGAGAAATTTATTGCATATGTAGGTTTACTCATTATATTTTAGCAAACCTAATTACAGTAAGTTTTTCTTTTCTTTTAGTACAAATGGTTGTTTCAAATTCATTTCCAAACATCTGTCCGAGCTTTGTCGGTGTTCAGATTTTACATCGATCAACAACTCGTGTAGTATTGATTGCTCTGAATGGAAATGTATTGAAAAAACTAGAACAAGGCTTAAAAGAGAAGCAAAACATTCCTACTATAATCACTGTGAGGACTTGAATGAAGAAGAAAACAGTGGGAATGATTACAAGTCTGAAGAAGTCATTATTTTAAAAGCAAAGGAATTCTTAATCAATCAAAATTTTATCATAGGTCGACAAGGGTATGATGCAAATATTGGAAATTTATATGGTGAGCTAATTTTAAGTTTTTAGAATGCCATTTATAACATTAAAAGCTGCCTTTAAATTTTTCATATTTTACAGTAATATTTTTGTTTTACACTTGCTATTATTTATTATTTACAGCTCTGATCGAAGCAAAATTTAGATATCTAATTTTATGGCAAACTAAAGAGTATAGAAAAATATATATAAAAACTGTGGATAAGGGTAAGGGTAAATAGTTTTTTTACTTTTTAAACAAATTTTACATTCTCTAATTATTTTATTATATATAAATGGATAGCTGCTGTATATATATATATATATCTTATACTTTATATAGAGGTCTGTGTTGTCTTTATATACTGTAGTTTACCTAGTCTTTACATAAACATTT